ACTTCGCCACGACATTATAAAGAATTTAAAACGATAGGTCTTTTGAACCAAATGTCCATTTACAGGCTTCCATAAGCCATATCATCCATTTCTGTAGGTTCGTGGCTTTTCAGGGCCTTCTAGAAGCTGATTCTGCTATATGGAGTGGAAGGTTAGAACAACGATCAACCCGTGCAGCTCAGTCACCTCTCTTAAGTTTGTTGAGAAAGTTGCGGCGATTGCAGAAAGTTCCAGTAAAGTCGAAAAAATGTTGCAAGGTAAGGAAAGTCTCAAGAAAGGATTAAAGATCCAAAGATCACGGACGAAGCAATTGCATTCTACAGAAGGCCCAAAAGTGACTAATGAAGACGGGCGAGAAAAGTGGAATACTGCATCTGTTTGAGCCGGCAATTTAAAGAGCGATGCGATTTTTCTATCCGACTAAGTTTCCACAGCAGCCGCCCCACAGGAGCAAGTCGATGTTCCGATATTTTTCTCATAGTTATAAGACGTTTCTCATACCCTGCCCTTTGCTTCCACCGTTGGTCAAGCAGGCTCGTCATTGGGTCGTCTAAGCGGGTAGGTGGACGAGCGAATGGAAGTCTGTTGTCCAGTTAGTGACGAGGGATGTTTATTTGTTGTCCTTCAGAGAAGCATACGGCCAGTTTATCATCGCTTTCAGTTGCAGTCTGCAGTCAGTATATCCAAAATCGTGTCTAACACTGAACCATTGCATTTGGAACCACAGCGACATCGTGTCACTGTAGAGTGCAGTAATCTGTGGTTTGACCCTAAGCAGGAGGTGTTTTCCCCATGACGGATAGACCTGTTATTGCCCTCGTCATTTCAATGTCGTTTTTCGACTTTATCGCACATTGCATTGATACATTAAGTGAATGCAGTTACATTCTGAGATGGGAGCCGCATTTGTTTAACTCTCCAATTCCAAAATGGCCGATGAAACGCTTTGTCTCGGTTGTTTCTTTTCGTGCGATGGCACTGAAACCTTTTTTGGCGATTCTGCATGTTGAAGTCTTTTCCATTGCACATTCTCCACTTCCTCATCGTCTGCTTGCTGCATTTGGCCGTGAACTTCGATTATCGTTATTGATTTTTTCTTTTCCCCCCGCCGAAATAACGTAGCGACACTAGGTTACATGAGATCACAGCTAATCACGAGTGGCATAGCCCGCTTTTTTATGATAAATCTTACACTGTCTGTCTGAGCCCGGCTTTTGTACACTTTCCTAGGGAATATTTTGTCAACGTTATTCAATTGTGCGATACGTTGGCGGATTATCGAGATCATCTGCTTTGATCTGCTCGTCTGTGAGGAAGATGTCATCGAGTGCGTCTGACGTCACAGTTCTCCTGTTGTTGCTAGTCACGAAGTCTTTATGACATACTTTGCCAGTCGCGTCCTAACCATCCCCTGATCGAAAGTAATCTCAATTTTTTGGCAAGCCGACGCCGTAGCCTGCACCTTTGGAACAGGGATTCTACGGTAAATAACGTATTTTTTGTGATTTTTGTAAGCAGTTGGCTCAAGGTGCCGTAAACTATAGTCTTCGTCCTCCACATTTTTCATCCAGCTCATCGAGATCCAGAAGGAAGGTGCTTGGTGAGCTATGGGTCGCGGTAGGGTTCATTGACTTATGTCAGCCCTCACCCCAAAGGATAGGGCCCTTCGTGGTATATCCAGCTAGTTCACCATGCAGCGCAGCGCTAACACGGGATGCGATCATAGGGCTGAAATGTGGCACAGAATGGAGGATAGGGAAGTCCAACCCGTCATGAACATCTTCCTTGAAAAGACTGACAAATCAGCGCGGGCATATTTCTTCAACACAATCACACACATTGACACCCCTGTAGGCAAAGGTGTATGGTTGCAATACATTTTCATTGACACAAGTAGAGGAAATCATCTCTCTGTCATCAAAAGAG